GTACTCATTGTTGCCTTCCCTCAGCACCTCAAGGTGTGCTGGACACCCTCTTAACCTTTAAAAGGTTAAAGATTTTCAATCCTTTAAGGGAATACTGGGGAGGGTCTGCACAAGGAAAACAAAATCATCAAAAAATAAAATAAAAATAAAAAAAGAAAAGCAAAATGATCCTGAGTTCATAAAATGTACCCCTGTGGTCCCATGGATCTGGGAGTCCTTGTCTCTGGTACCAGCATCAATCATCACTACTAGGGCCCTGGCCCTGCTGTACTCTTATACAAGCTCACCCAGTGTGAGGGAGAGGACCATGAGCTTGGGACAGGGTACAAAGCATAGGCCTTGACTGACTTAAGAGGCAGAGCTGCAGCTCCGATGGCCAGGGAGGAGAAGATGAGGGGTCCTCCAGGGCTCTGGAGAGCACACTTGGGTCAACTGTATCCTTTTTTTGTTGCTGGGGTGGAGACTTTGTGGTCTTTTCCTCCAGGATGCCCCACTGGATCAAGTCCTGGGCGGTGTCCAGCCACTTTGGCTCAGGTCCTATTAGCTCCTCAATCTTGAACTCCAGGGCCATACCCCCTAACTCCTTGGCAGCTTGACACACACACATAACTTCCTCATCTGTTAAATGGGATTCTGAGCCCCAGCTAATGCTAACCCTAATCATTGGTCATGAGCACCCTGAAAACAGTGCCCTGACACCCAAAGGCAGCTCAGGAGCAAGACTGAGGCCTCAAGAGCCCCCACTGGAATCCTCTCTTCCCCACCCTTCCAGATTAACCAAAACCTGCTAATTGTGGCAACCCTCTGCATGCTCCCCTCCCCCACCATTTTACTCCCTTCCCTCTCTTCCCCTCCCCCTTCATCGGAATGATAAAGGGCCAGGCCCGCCCGCCTGGCCCCACTTCAGATCCTGGCCCTACCGCCACACTGCCCCACTGCTCTGAGCCCTCAATCAGGCCAGGCCCCTGGCCACGCTGTCTACCTTCCCGGCATGGGGCCCTGCAGCAATTCCTGCCGGGGGCCCCTGGAGGCACAATCGCCCTCTCAGCCCCCCAAGAGGAGGAAGAAGAGATACCTGCGGCATGACAAACCTCCCTACACCTACTTAGCCATGATCGCCTTGGTGATTCAGGCCGCACCCTCCCGCAGGCTGAAGCTGGCCCAGGTGAGAAGGTCCCCACTCTCCTCACACAGGGTGGCTGGACATTTACCCAGACCCATTCCCTACCTACTTCTAGGTTCAGGCTCAGGCTTCCACCTCCACCCAGCCCCATCCAGCTATGCCAGGGGACCAGACTGAGAGCTCTGGGGCTCAGGTGCTACCCTTATCTCAGAGCCGCCTTCCCCACCTTAAGTGTTATAACTGAGGAGGGCAGGTGAACCGCACCAGTGGCCCCCCAGGCCCCACTGTGGGGGGAGAGGTGAACAGTGTCCCCTCCCCAGCTGGCTCACAATGCCGTTGCCCTTGTGGTGGTTTCAGATCATCCGTCAGGTCCAGGCGGTGTTCCCCTTTTTCAGGGATGACTACGAGGGCTGGAAAGACTCCATCAGGCATAACCTCTCCTCCAACCGATGCTTCCTCAAGGTGGGGCAGGGTAAGGGTCTGTGTGGGGGGGGGGCAGGGTGGGAGCAGAGATCCTGAGCCTTGGGGTCAGGCGGCCCCACTCAAATCTGCCCCCACTTCAGGTACCCAAAGACCCAGCGAAGCCCCAGGCCAAGGGCAACTTCTGGGCTGTGGACGTGAGCCTGATTCCAGCAGAGGCGCTGCGGTTGCAGAATACGGCCCTGTGCAGGCGCTGGCAGAACGGGGGCACACACAGAGCTTTCGCCAAAGACCTGGGTCCCTATGTGCTGCATGGTCAACCCTATCGGCCATCTGGTCCCCCGCCTCCCTGCGAAGGCTTCAGCATCAAATCTTTGCTAGGGAACCCGGGGGAGGAGGCATCCCTCAGGCCCAGGCTGGCAACACAGAGCAGCCCAGCCCTGGGGGGCACAAGGAATGGCAGGGCAGAGGTAGTACCTACTCTACCCCTGCCCTCCCCTGAAAGGCCCCTGTGGCCCCTCCCAGGGCCCGCAACAGTGGAGGGGGAGACTTCTCCCAAGGGAGCTATTGGCCCCACATTCCTCTCCTCAGAGCCCAGAGCCTGGTCCCTCCACTTAATACAGGATACACCAGCCCCTGGGGGGCTATCCAGTGGGGGACACAGATCCTCCTTTTGGGGACAACTGCCCACCTCCTACTTGCCCATCTATGCCCCCAATGTGGTTGTCCCCTTGGCACCACCACCACCCAGCTCCTGTCCTAGGTGCCCACCTTCCACCAGCCCAGCCTACTGGAAGTTAGCCCCTGAAACTCCACGGGCCCCAAGGCTGCTCTGGGATCTAGATGCGTTCTTCCAAGGGGTGCCCCCCAATAAAAGCATCCATGATGTATGGGTCAGCCAGCCTCAGGACCTGGCTGCCCCCACCCCCAGCTGGCTGCTCTCCTGGCACAACCTGTGAGGCTCCTGCAGCAGGGTGGCTGCTCCCTCCCACCCGCCAGCTCACTAGTGGGAACCAAGGCCAGGAGAGTATCTCTGGCCACAGCAGTCTCAAAACACGAGGTCCCAGCCTTGCTGGGAGTCCACAAAGTTTATTGAACTACTCCACAGATGGTGCGGCCAAGCTGTCACTCAGGCCTCTGCCTCAGCACTGGAGGCAGGGATGTAGAAGCAGGGCTCAGCCTGGAATAGTACTTCCTGGTCCCACCTTCTCAGGCCATCCCCCATCCATCCATCTGTCATCTCCCTTCCCTGGCTCCAGGCTGGGGGAGGGAGAGCCTAACAGGGGTCCAACTTGAAGTCTTGTCTCAACTGTCTGGGAGGGAGGTAGCACCTTTTTGGGGAAAGGGGTTAGGGAATAAAGACATGGTGGGGGGAGACAGATAACAGTAAAGGAATTTGCAACATTTTAATGCCATGCCTCCTGATTCTGAGGTCAGAGGTGGTGTCTTGGGTAACCACTGGGCTGGGGTCTGCCCCCTTTGGCTCTGGGATTCCCTGCTGTGTGCTGTGATAACAGCAAATGGTGATAAGGGAGGAAGCTGAGAGCCTGTGGGCTTGGAGGGTGGGGGGATAATTTCTGCAGGTATTAACACTGGCTGGCAAAGTAGGACAACTCTGGGAGTTTGGGGACAGTGGGCCCCTAGAAGTCCAGGAAGTTATGCCCAGGGAGAGGGTGTATAGGGACTTTTCTACTGCCTCTGCCAGCAGAGGTGTATCCTCAAACCCCTGGCGCAGGGCCAAGACCCAGGACTACCGGGGCAAACCCTGTTGGGGCATGAGAGCCGAGCCAGAGCCACTATCTGGACTAGGGCTTGGAGGGCTTCCAGGGGACGGCGTAGGGGTGCAGGGGGTCCCGGTTAGTGGAGTGTCCGTACTGAGGGAGGAGGGCGTCCCGGAGGAGCGCGCGACCCTGCGGCGACGAGCTGGCCCCAATTCCACTTGGCCCACTCGCTCAGCGAACTTGAGCGAACAGACAGTCTCCCCAAGATCTTCTGGCCTAGTGGAGATCTGCAGAAAAGCTACGCTGGTGGGAGGGTCCCGACTGGGCGGCGCCTGGCACGCAAGCAGCCCCGAGCGCCCCCATCCCCGTTCTGGCTCCCCGCCCCCGCGCCTACCTGCAGCAACAGTACCGCAGTAGTGCCAGGGCCCAGCGCCGGCTGTAGCAGGCGCGTGAGCTGTGAGTCACGGAAGGGTACGTGTGGCCGGTGAGCCCTCAGCGCAGCCATCACGCCTCCTAGCGCCAGCAGCGAGCGGTTGATAGTCTGGGCCTCCCGCAGTCGCCGGGCACCCTCCGGGTCTCCGCGGGGCGCACTGGCCGCCCCTGCCTTCCGTGCGCGCTCAGATCCCGCCAGATCCACCAGGTGCAGTGTCCCTAGAAGGGCGAGCGAGCCCGACGTGGAGGGAGGCCGGGCCCCAAGGCACTGGGGACTCTGCAGGGCTCAGACAGTGGTCTTGCTACCTGCGGTGTCCAGAGCACGCGACGGAGATGCAGCGTGCAGCGTCAGCGTGACCAAGGCGTGTGAGCGGGAGCTGCGCTGGTTCATGGCGGTGGCGGCGGTAACCCGGTTGCTCCTACCCACACTTAGCATCTGGAAGACAGAGCAACAGTGCTGGTCTGGTGCAGGGTGCTCGCCCCCAGGTGGGAGCACAAAGAGGGGCCTTGGAGGGTTGAGCCGCCCACTAGGACAGCCTTACCTGATGCAGCGTCTCCAGGTTGGGTATGTCCCAGTGGGTAAGGCCAGTCACCTGGATACCCCCCTGGCCTTCTGGACCCTGCCTCACAGCTAGACGCTCAGGAGGTCCTGGGGCCAGAAGATCCCTAGTAAGAAATAGGGAGGGCTTGGTTCGGGGTTCTCTGGGAGCCCTGGGCCAGGGGCTGAGTAGGCAGCCCAGAGGCATAGCCCTAACCTGACTGCCTCATTGTAGATCTCCACCATGCTGAGTGTCACACGGTGCTGTCCTCCAGCCCCCATCTCCCGGAACAGCGACTGCAGTGCCCTAGGAGCTATGCCAGGGTCCTCAGGTGGCCCCTGAAGATGGGATAAGGTGCCACATTGGACTTAGATCCAAGCCCCTGGCCCTAGAAGCCACGCAGAACCTCTAGGCCCTAGAGTCTAGGGCCTCCCCCCAGGGTGTGGCTCCCCCACCCACCTCCATGCTGTAGGTCTTCCCTGTTCCTGTCTGGCCATAAGTGAAGATGCAGACACTGTAGCCACGGAGGCACGAAAGCACAGCTGGCTCCAACTCCCTGAAGACCTAGGGGTGTGACAGCAGAAGTATCTTGAACCCTTCTCAGTTCCCTATTTGAGATTTGGTGATGAGAATGCAGTGAACAGCAGGGTGTGAACTGAGTTTAACACCCCTGGGAAAATGCCTCTAGGGGCTGGGGGGTGGGGGCTGGATCCTCCAACAGGACCCCTGTGTCTCCCTGGAGAAGGTGCTTGCAAGAATTTGCCAGGCAAAGAATAGGAAAGATATGACAGGAGAAAGGGACCAAGCTGTACAGAGGTTCTAGAATTCTAAAGACCACTGAAGAGGCCCTGGGGAACTTGGTGGGGCGCCCAGATGCTACAGCTTGACTGTCCAACTCCTTCCTGTGCCTGTTTCTTTTGGTGAGGTGAAGACTACAGCAGCACCTTGATATACTAGAGTGCCAGAGCAGCCCTTGCAACACAAAGCAGGGGCCAACGGAAGGGACTCCTGGGTGTGGGGGATGGTATCCCACCAGGACAACGAGCTGGGGGGTAGGGGTGGGACTGGAACATTCCTTCTACTGGCCACTTAAAACCAATGGCAACCTCTGAGCAATGACATGGTTAGCTTTCATGCCCAGAAGGGTGCCAGTAACTAGGTGGGCTGTCAGTTGATAGCCATGAGGACAGAATCCAGAATTCTGGGTTTATGTGGTCACTAAGATTCCATGACTGGGCTCGGCGCCTATAGCTCAACCAGCTAAGGCGCCAGCCACGTACACCTAAGGTGGCGGGTTCGAATCCCCAGCCCGGACCCGCCAAAAACAAT